TGAAAGAAATGATGTAGGAACATGCTGGAGACCAGAGATACTGCTGTACACATACTGATGGCATCTGCCAGCTGCTACTACCTCTGTCACTCAGTGAAAACAGAAACTGCCACCTCCTGCCTCAAAAAAGAGCATGGCTCTCTGTTCCCCACCTGCTCATTTCTTCTGACCTCAGACACATATTGCCCTAAGAAATAATTGCATACCCAGCAGTGCATGATGCACAAGAGTTTCCTGAGAACTTGTTCTGCAGAGATGTAGTCCTACAGTGAGGGGCTGGTGGGGAGGCACAGGGAACTGCTCAGCCTGGCTGAGACAAGAGTGGTCTGAGCCAGAGCCCCCTCCTTCTGCTTTGAGCTGATCTGATTCATTATATTTAGGTTTCTATATTTATTCTTTACTGTAGCTGAGTTTATTGGTTGAATACATGCATGTTCAGGCAATTTTACAGAACTCACAGCAGAAAAGTTTTTATCCGTACAGCTGGCTATTTTTACTGGCAGTGCAGATCTACATGCTATGTTCACCCCACCAGGGAAAAAAAGCAATATTCTGTCACCTCAACGTTAACAGAACCAGCCTATGAAGGAATCCATTTATAATAATGATTAATAACAAAGTACTGTGGGCAACGGAGCTACAGACCAAAACTAATTTGTGGAAATTACTCAGCAAGTGATTATGACTAATGTGATTTGCCACTGGGCAATTCATGAACAAAAGTAAAATGTGTGGAATGAAACATTCATTATCCATTATTCACTCAGTATAGGCAATGGCATTCATACGGTAGCAGAGCCTGGACAATTTGGTAGAATTCAGGGATTTGTTACACCAAGCATTATATGGACTCTTTTTGTTTTTTCCCTTAAAAAAGGGGGGCAAATATCCCTCCTGAGGAGCTCCAGATGCTAGATTTCAGATGTTCTTAGGGACTACAACTTCTGTAAAAATGTGTGAATTAACCTTACAGCTCAGGTATTGGTAGAAGAGTAGTCCTGTTTGACATCAAGAGGTTTCCATGTGGACTGAAACCCCTCAGTAGTCCTTGAAATTCTTGTATGAATTTTGGGGGTTATGTTTTAGCTCAACTGTCACTGTCCAAGTTAATCACCGGGACACATTCTAAGATACTTCAAATACATTGAGACATATAGCCAGTTCCCAGATGATCCTTCAAGGATGTCTCAGTGTAGGTATCTGTAAATGAACATTCAGGAAAGTATTCCTTTGGTGTCTGGTGCTTTTCCCAAAAGGGATGGATGGACCTTGCTGACCTCTATGGCATTGGCTTCAGCATGGCAAAAGGCAGAGCTCTCATCACTTCCTTCCCCACTGCCCTGGTGTTAGAGTACACTGTAAATGACAAAATCTACTCAGGAAAAATCAGGGGTAAGGACAGTAATTAAGAAGCTGGCAGATAAAATTAGTGACATTTTATTTATGACACATTGCTGTTCTTTCACTGCTGGTTTATTTTCTTCTTGGTTCTTTTCCCTTTGTCCAAATGAGAAGACAATAAGGAGGGGTATCTTTGCATTTGCTTTATTCTCTGCCTGACACCAAAATACATTGCCTTTGCAATAGGATCATCAGGATCATTTTTTTCAAGCTTATTGTGATAATGTCCTTCAGAAGGATAGGGTCATTTGAACTGAACAAAGAGGAGTTTTTCTTATAATTCTTTGTGTTATGAGATGTATGCTGGAAGAAAAGGCTAAATCAGTCTGCCATACAAGTGTAAATTTATAGGATGGCTGGAATGAGCACAGAACACCACAAGTCTGTAGAAAACCTCCCTCCACCAGACACAGCGAGGAGGAAGCCCGGGATAGGGGGGATTGTGTTCCCTTTGCCTTATTACCACAGATGGTCTGTTCTGTGCAAGGAAATCATGGAACAGGCATACAATCCATTTGTGCAGAACCTATTCTGTGCTTGCACTGTCCTGGGAATTTATTCAAAATATTTATGTTGTGCATGGATCACACCAGGGGTAAACTGGGCTCCCCAAATGACTTTTGCACTGCCATTCCTGTTTTACTAATTGGGACTAATCCTGACATGCCAAGAGAATGTAACTTTTGGCCCTCTGAAATATACCTCATCTCTAATAGACCAAATTTCCAGGGTAGAGAAACATGTCTGAAACCCAAGTACATGTATTCTTCTCAATTCAACAACAAAAATTATGTAAGTTTTATTTTTATTGACTTTTCTTATTCTTATAATACTGACAATGGTAGAGAATACTATCAAGCCACATCATAACTCAGGTTGAAAACTGAATTTTGCACAACACTGAATAACATAACAAAACTGTAATGTCTTGAAAAGATCTTGGTTCCATCTTTATTTCCCCCTTGAGGAACAGAATGTGTGAATAATGTAGCAGGTTGGTACTAATTTACTGCTCAAACCAAAACAGATTCAAAGGAGATGTGTCTTTAAACTAGTTCTGGTTTTCTGACTCAAAACTGAAAAAATCCAAAGTGCAGTCTTTGTAATTATAGCAATTCATACATCTCTGTTGACACTCCTGCTCATATTTCTGTTGTTTGTCAGGCATACTGTGTTAAGATGGCAACAGGACTATATCTGGGGTTTGTTTGCAGCTTGTTTTGCACCACTGAGGATTTTAGGGTTTTTTTGCGCATTGTCTTTCATTTTCTCCGGAGCATATAATCGGCATTGTGTTTAAAGGCTGGTATTTAAAAAACAGAACATAAATCCACTGTACATTGAATTTCAACTCTGGAAGCCTGGGGGTGAGAGATGGATGGGGAGAATTGACATGGAAACTTAAAAATTGCAAAGCCCCAAATACATGGTTCTCCAGTGGGGCTGCCTGATGACTTGCAGCCACAAATGACTTCTGCTGCTATTGTAAGGACTGGGCATTTCTGAGGAGTGTCATTATTGATCCACTTCTTCATGAGGGAATAACTTGAGAGTTTTTTTGCCAGGTGGAAATATGATAAATTAATGTTAAACATATCTATTACTTGTTATCCACTCATGTGTCTCTTCCACCCCATGCAGATGGGTAGTGAAGCAGCTGCAGATGGAAGAGCCCTAAGACCTGACATGCAGCCAAACCCAGCCTCTGCTCATGAAACTGGGTGTCACTACACTCTCCCTTTTTTGAGTCATCCTTTCAACCTCCTCAGCTTAGTTTCTCACCAGAATCAATCATTTTCTAATTAACTAGCCAGATTCTGCTGAAGTTTGCCAAAATTTTATTATCCTGCTCTCAGAGTTACAGTATGCAATTATTTATTCAAGTTTCTACTGCTCCCACTTTGATTTGAAGGAATCTCTTTCTGGGAGCCTAAGGGAGCTCTGTAATGAGAAACAGTTACAGGAAGGTGAGCAACCCCCTTGCTTCGCAGGCTTTACAATATCAGGAGAAAGGAAAAAACCACATGTGCTCCCTCTTCATTTTCCAACATCCAGGGGGAAGAAATTAATGCAAAAACCAGCTTCCACATGTATTGCTCAGGTTTATGGCTGGGTTTTTTTCCTAACTGGGAGTAAAACATGTATTTGGGGCTTTGGGGTGTTACATTCACAGGTGAAGGTCAGGTCCTTAATAAGCAGTGCAGAAACAAATATGAGACAATATTCTTTAGGAGAGTTGGGCATTACAATTGCAAAGTGTCTAATCCATGGCATCATGACACTGCCTCTTTTGAACATTGAAATTTTTCATTCAACATGAGCACAGGCTGGATGTCTTGAGAATGGGGGTTACACAGCACAGCATCTTGAACGGGGAACTAACCAAACAGTATTAAGAAATGCAGATGTGATGAAGACAGCCTCAGCTTTCCTACTTAAAGCTAGTAAGGTGTCAATGTCTTGACTGCTGGAGTATTCACAGCAGTAAGCCTTCTCCTGGGCTAAGGTAGCTAAGGTAACTCAGTCCTCTTTCTTTAAAAAACACTAGTAAGAAAGCTTCATCATAATTGAAAGATGGAAGGGCGTAAGAGTTCTTCTAACACCTTAGTTTTGTTTTACATGGAATGCAGACAGAGACTTGATTTACTTGTATCCCAGATGTTAACAATTGGACTAGAAAATTATATGCACTTCCATTTGTTCCTCACTGAGAACACAGTCATTTATTGTGTTCTCACAATAAATGAGGCAGAGGCAGAATTACATCACAGACTGCCTCATGGCTTGCTGGAGTTGAAGGTAGTGAGCAGCCCAAAGCTTTTGCACATGCTCCAAATGCTGTGGCACTCAACATATTGATCCAATTGTTACTTGCCTGACTCTGCTTGGGTTAGGCTGTTTTGGTGACAATTAACGAAGCTTATCCCTGTCCCACGGTACCTGGGGGCAGTGCATGTGCATGCTACAGTCCTTTCTTCAGGACTATAGACCTGGCTTACAGGTAGTCCCCATGCTCTGGGACAGTGAGCCAGGCTGCCGTGGAAATGCTGCCTCTGCCTTTGTAAGCTGTGCCAGCAAAGCAGCATGCTGCAGAGTGCTCCTGTGCTGCACTGCTGCAGTGGCACTGCTGCTTTTCATTTATATCTGCAGGGAAAGGCCAGGGAAGAAAGACTTTGGCTCCCTGTCCTAGACACTCTGTAATCTGCCTCTAAAAAATTATTCTGCCAGAGAGATTCTTAAACTGAAGCCTTTTTTCTATTACTCTGTGTGTTCACAATATGAACTAACTCAGTGTTTCAAATAACAATTGAGCAGACAATGAAACAACTATGTATGCTAGCAAGAAGTGAAAGAACAAAGAAAGCAAATTTACAAAGTATGGCACCTGTATCACTTTAAGAAAGTAAGTGTTGTTAATTTTGTCAGGCATGATGAATCTAATACTTATGCTATTTTATTGGTAAATTAGTAATTTAATGGGCAAAGACTTCTTTCCAGATAATAAAATAATTTGAAGTGCCAAATGAAAGGCAAGTCAGTGAATCCACTACAGTCTTGAAAAAAGATCAGAAAAAGAAGATGAAAATAATCAAACTCACCTTAAGCCTGTTGAATGCAGCCCTCAGGATCTGTGTTTCCCTCTCACTCTCAGGAACAACTCGTATGACTTTATCACTGCCAAAAACAGAAAATTGAATTGGCACTTTAAGACTCCTTGCAGCAGTACAAAGAGACAGTAATTAGGTTCAGATAGCTACTGTAATTGTGCTCTTTTTCAGCACCTGGAAAATGTTGGGTTAGCTGGACCTCTGCTTCTAAACTTGCTGCTGGATTATGCAAGTCCATAGAAATTATTTGCTCTTTACAGATCAGTGTCAGCTTGACCTTCCCTTTACATCCAAATGTTTTGTTCATTCCTTCTAAGTTAAACCATTCAGTCTGACATCTTCCATACTGAATATCTGCCTCAGAACAACAAAGAAAATCTTTTTCCAAAATGACTGATCTGTTTCCGAGGATGAGATTAAGTAAAATACATTGTCTTTTCATGTTTAAACCTTTATTGGACTTTGCAAAGTTCATTGTTTCATGCATTCAAGAGGGGAGTTGACTTGAGAAAAGAGGTGGTCTTCATATTGGGGCATGCCTTTTGCTTTACCCATTGAAACTTACACAAATTTTGTGAAGTTAATAGCTGCTCACACATGCTCAGAAGGTTCTAGATAATAGTAGCTGACTTTATTCACTTTCTTTAACAGAAGCTGGAATAGAGTAAGTTTAGGTAAGATACAAGCAAGAAATTCTTTGCTGTGAGGAGCACAAGAACTAATTGCCCAGAGAAGCTTTGGATGCCTCATCCTTGGAAGTGTCCAAGACCACGTTGGATGAGGCTCTGAACAACGTGTTCAGGTGAAAGGTGCCCCTGCCATGGCAGGGGGGGCTGGAACTAGATGACCTTTAAGGTCCCTTCCAACTCCAGCCATTCTATGACTTATGATCTCAATGGACATAATTTTGCAAATAGGAAACAAAAAACGGAATGACCCTTCAATGACCACCATCTGTCATGGCCTATGGGATGCTGGAGACCACAGAAAATAGAGGGAATGATCATGTAACTAAAATATCAGCCATACACAAGAAGGATGAAATAACTTTAAGTGGCCAATGTGAATTCTGGCATTTTCCTACATTTTGAGTTTTTAATTTATACTGTTGATAATCAGTACTTCTCTTCCAAGAGACCTTGGCAGTCATGCATATCTTTATTTCTACAGTTCCATCCAGTAGCCACGATGCCTTTTAAACAATTTCTTTATCTACAGTTTCTATATTATCTGGGAATTTTAAACAGTAGAATTTCCCTTGACATTGAGAGTTTTCACTCTCAAGTATCCTGTAAGCTCTCCTCCTTTGCTAAAGGTTCTGAGTGTGGTGAGAAGGTATTTGGCCAACTAGAAACAGCACTGCTGAGTGTGCCCTTCCTGGCTCACTGTTCTAGGAAGGCTCCCAAGCTGCTGCTGTTCTCAGGCACCAGGTCTTGCCTTTGATGAACTGCAGCTACAGCTCTGGTAGGACTCACCTTTGCTGCAAGAATCCTTAATGCATTCATAGGTAAGCATTAAATACTGCCAGTTCAGAAGAAAGCACTACTAATAAATTCTGAATTCTGAAGTGTCTTACCTGTTTCTGGAAATAATTTTACCTTGCCCCCTATTCTTTTTTAGTCTTTTCTCTACAGTCAATATTTGCTCTCCTTTCTGTCTCAGCTCTCCAGTTTTGGTTCTCACCCCTGCTGACAGGCCCCAAACCTTCCAAATCCTACATGGCATTGAGAAGTTTTTGGTCCAGTTAGACCCCAGGCTACTGCTGCAGTAACACTGATGTACCCACAGGTGTGGACCTTAGTCCATTTGCCTTGCCTGCTGTTGACCTTGCTGGACAAATGGTTTATGCCTAAGGAAAAAAAAAAGATTTCTGAAAGCTCTCTTGTTATAATTTGGCAGCCCAAAAATTTAGGAGAAATTACTATGCTTCCAAGCCAAATTTAACCTCCTGTTTTGGAGCTTGCACAGAGAGGAATAAATCTCTTAGAATACTACAACTGCTGCATCTTTTAAAGGAAAATAGATGCTTTGAATTTATCATACATCCAAGAGTAATATTCTTTTCCATTACTTCTTTCTAAGTACTAAATTGCTGTTAAGAAGAAAATAATAAAAAAGTAATAAAGAAGTAACGATTGCCCAGGCAGTTGATGTAGCTTATAAAGATCCATCAGACATTTCTGGAAGGATTGGTACAACCAACATATAAAAACCAGATTTTAATGAAATAAGTAGCTAAGCATGTGTTACACAGCTGTAATGGAATTTCGAAGGAGCAGATATCACCAAGGTATGGTCTTGAATTCAAACTGTAAACTGCCTTCGATTAGCTCAGCAACTCTGTCCTTTCCAATGGGATGAAAAACCCGCCCCGGAGAGGAAAGTATTGGTGCTGTGACAGATTGATCACTTGACACATTGTTGGGAAATGCTTCAAGCTCTGGCTGAGTCTGCTGCTAGAGAGCTCATAGCAAGCAGTTCAGCAGTTTAGCATGGTAGTTTCAGTATTTTATTAAGAGATGGTTAAGCCATTATGGCAAAGCCCTTTCGATTTTTGAGCATGCAAGCTGTGGGAATACACTGGATTCCTGAGAACTATCTGCTAACACCCACTTCAGTAGGCTGGCTAGTCAGTGCATAATCATTATGCATTCTTCAACAAAGCACAGACAGGAAATCTACCTTTACTTCAGATATCGACAGTTCTAAGGTAATTTTTAAGCTTTATAGCTTTTCTGGCTACATTTCACATTAAAGAAATCCAATTATTACCCTAAATGCTATGCAATGCCCACTGAATTTAGGGTAGAAATTCAGTAACCAACCCACTATTTAAAAGCCAACAAAATCTATCAAATCATGTACTAATGTGGTTAATAAATGGCAGATGCACCCCAAACACTCAGGACCATCCCTTGGTGAGGTCCCCTGCCATCCTTTATGTTGAGCTGATGAGGAGAAACAAACAAGTAATCATATCTATATCCAACTAGGGAAAGTTTTGCTGCCGGCAAGACATATGTCAGCAGTCTGCTGATTTATGCAGGTAAGGTTAATTTTCTAACCATGATGCCTTTAAATCTTTTTAACCTTATTAAAAAAAATTCTAAACAAACAGCAAGATGAGATATATTTTGTATAAATTAGTGTAGAAATTTATATCCACCATGACAAACTTTCAATTTACCCCTAGCAATTAGATTAATGGAATTTAAAGCTAGGACTTAGTGAGACCTTTTGAATTTTGTGTAAACACAAAGCTGTGTTGAAAGCCTTTGCCAAGAGCAGAACACAAGCTTTAGTAAATGAACTGACTGAATGAGTATGGTGAGCAGAGTAGAAGCCAGGCTGATGTCCCCAGGGACAGCCTTGTGTCTGAGCAAAATGGGTGACCAGCTGTTGGCCAGCACTGACATGCAATGACTCCTTTTTTCCCCGTCATCACCCCCTTATATTTTTCAGGAACAGCATGAGAAATGACACAGCTGCTTTGGAAACACAGAATATGCTACGTGGCCCTGGGAAGGGCAATACTTCCTGATGCCAATGGGGACTTAAATTCTTGGTTTATTTCTTTGGCTTTTTCATTTACTTTTTTCCCATTTAATTCATAGTTTTACTCATCTATGAACAGACCAGATGGATCCAAAGAAACTATTTTGCAGCAAATCTACGACTTCTTTACTGATGGAATTAGCAGCTCTCTCTCATGAAACTTTCCTGATGAAGTCACATGGCATGAACTGCATTTATGTAAATTCCTCATTTCCTTCAGGAAAATCCTTTTTATTGTTTTATTCTCCTGACTAATGTGAACCTTAATCAGATCTCTGCTCTCACATGGAATTTAATAAAAGCATCTTTGCAAAGGCTTTACAAGTATTTTAAACACAGTTTAGGAAGTGATATGCTATAAATCAAATACCTATAGAAAAAAAAAAAGGAAAGAAAATAAATCCCCACTTATTAAGCATCCATTCCTAATAGCAGACGAGGGATTACAGTTCTTGAGAACAAGCTGCCATAGTTGCTGCACTTTAGAGGTTCATTAAGGCTGAATGACACATCTGAAAAGATCTGCAGTATGAAAGCCTCTTGTCAACTCCCAATATGCCGTCAGATATCATTTGTGATGAAAGATCAATTGCTTCATTCCCTTTTCCGCACTAAATTCTGATAGTGAAGAGGTTAAGAAATAATAAAACATTAATGTTTTTCTCTCTCTCTGTTACCGGGATGAAGAGTTTTAACTGTGATTCAGTAGTGCTACAAAATCAAGATAGACAAATAAGGCTGGGTTTCTTCCTGAAACCTGGTGGGTACATCTGGAAAGGGAACTTTACAAAACTTCCTGAGCCCTTCATTATGGTTTTCTGTATTACAGCAGATGCTGACCCAAACAGAAGAGAACCCCATTTGCATTGTCTAGATAGCAGATAGCAATGTATATATTTTCTGCCTTTTAGCAATTAAGGCAGGAAAACTGAGACCATTCCTAGTATAAGAAAGAGCTAGCTAATTTATAATTTTGAACAAAAAATAGGTGCTTGGGTAATATAGGCAGAAATGCTGAGCAGGCAAAGTATGTTATTGCCTTACATTTATCAGCATAGCACAGATGACTTCTTGGGAAGCTGAACTTAGGTGCTAATTCCCAAGCATAGAATATCTGAGTTTCATAGATGTTTTTCATGTGCAAAAAGGGTTTCTTTACCCAGCAGGAAACTTTACAGACTAAAGCAATGCTATATTACTAGCAGTCCTCCTCTGCACTGCTTCATTTCAGACACATATGGTAGGGGAATGTTAGTATCTGCAAAAATTTCAGTTTTCATTCCAACTAAGGAACAAAGCTTTTCCAATAAAAGCTGGCCTCCCATGTCTCATAATCACTGGCTATAGGGCCACCTAGCTTAAACACATGAAGTGGGAACCAATTGCTTCAGTGCATGTCTCTGTCTCAAAAAAGAAAAATGAACTCTGTGTGATAATGAATGCTGTCTTGCTTTCATCAAGTGTCATCCAGTCATGTGCAAAAGAAGAGAGAAAGAGGGCAGAGATTCAGGG